ATATAGTTTCATTGTGACATAGTTTACTGCAGGCCAATTGTAAAATGGGAAGGCATATAGATTCTCAAATTTTGTTAGTTTTCTTTCTCCTCTTATATTTCTAATAATTAGAAAGTATTTATAAAAATATTTGCAGAGGTAAATATTATTATAGAGTGCTGACATTAAGGTTATTTTGCAGGAAAGTGGTTAATACATTCTGGCTGAGAGCTGTGGCTATGCTATCAAACTAATCATGTACTGCTTCCATGATTTTGGCTAACCCCAAGTATCATCTGTTGTCAATGTTTTTCTAATTAACTCCACTTTTAAGTAAGTTTTTATTTGTCATGAGCAATAATGTTTGTGAAATCAAAATTTTTATGGGCTAATTATATTTTTCTGATATTTCCCATAAATGTTCAAATAAAAGTCAATTATCTATGTTTCACCTATAATCATCCAGGTACCCCACCTGGGAAACAGGATGCAAAAGATGCTTAGGGCTTACCTTCAAAGGGTTTACATTCTACCTCAGGAAATCATTTGTTATGAAACAATAAAGACAAGTCAGGAGATGCAAGCTGCTGGTGAGAGAAGTCACCAAAGATTTTTAGAAAGCTAATTTTTGTAGCAATAACATTAGATATGTTTGTACTCTTTGATCCAGTAATTCTACTTCTGTGAAATAGCTCGTGTGTATTCAAAAAATTGGAGCCATCTTGAAGGTCAAAATTAAAGGAATGATTACATTATGATACTTCTATATCATTGAATACTATGTCATTAAAATCATCTTTAGAAATATTTTTAAATAACAAATAAAAATATTTCTAATATATGCCAGATATGTAAAACAGATACAGTATGACTTCAACTATGGCAAATAGAGTCATTAGAAGATGTGGAATATGAAAAATTAAACAGTATATATTTTTCCTTGGTTTTGAGGTTATGAATAATCTTTATTTTTTCAATCTAAATGTTCCTATATTTTCTGTTTTATAGTTATACTAGGGGCCCAATGCACAAAATTCGTGCAAGGGGCTCAGCCCCCACCGCCGCAGCAGCTGCCTCTGCCTTGCCTCCGCCGAGCAGCTTTGTCTGGAAGGTCATCTGGAAGGATGTCTGGTCTAATTAGCATATTACACTTTTATTATTATAGATTAATATAAATATAATAATTTATCAAAAAATCATACTTCATAATTAGGAAATACATATTTTAAAAGAAAAATTAACACAAGCTAATTAAAATCTTACTGCAGTTCAGAGAAGATTTCATGGGGAAAGTGAAAAGCTGAGACTGGAAAACAATAAAATAATCCAAAAGAAATAGAGGTTGACTTGGTACTTATCAGTGTATGGAATGGGTGTCTATGTCAGCTAAAATTTGTGATTTTCATTCTGTGACTACAGAGATGAACAAAAGTAGGGGATGTGGTGATCCAGGATAAAAATTACCATTGGCTGGTCATGGCTACAGTGAGATAGACATAACTCTTATTAGAACTGAACTAGGAGCTCTAGAAAGGTGGAAGAAAACTTTATTATTTAGAGAAAGGGCAAGGAGAATAAAGAACCCAGAGAATAAAGAGAAATGCATGCATACAAATGGTGGGGATTAGTCAGAATAGGAATACCCCTAAGAGCAGACAGGAGTCAGGCGGGGCACAGGAGTTTCTCTATGACATTTGTCTTGAAGTTTTGTCAGGGAAGAGAGGTTGATGCTACAGTGTGCAAACAAGAGACAGTGTATTGAAGTTACCTGATACCTGATGCGCTTTAATCTGATCACAAGGGCAAGTCTAAAGGTTTGAGTGAGAAAGAACCTTGCTTCCTTTGGTAATTCAGGCGGTAAAGCTGCTGTGTCACAGATGAAGTCAACTAAGGGACAATGGTTGTAACCTCAGAGGTTGTAATCTGAGAGGTGGGCCCCCAGGGTAGTTTAGCAATATACTGGTGGGGCAGATGGGAGTCATGATTTCATGAGCTGAACTGCGTCATGCAGAGCTGAATAACAGGAAAATGCGTACATGTGTTTGTACATTCTTCTCTTATATTCTGTACTTTTCCTTCTCTGAACCTCCCTCCCGGTGTGGTAAATTTGTTTTCATGGATGTTTAAACTTATGCTGCACAGGAAGCATACAGGCAAAAAGAAACACTGGGGGAGACCTGGGCTGTTGTCTTTGGAAACACCACTCTTGTTTCTGTAATTTCCTTTGGGAGGAGGCAAATGTATAGGGGGCTTCTTGGGGCTGTTCCGGGCTCTCATCCTGTTCTTTGCCTCCTGTCATTCTCTGGGGAGCCTCTTACTTTTTATTCACAACCTCCCACCTTCTCCATCATCCATCTACCTGGAACCTAATTTGCCCCTGCTAATCTTGTAGATCACTCAATCCTTTTCTTATCTTTTTCTCTTCCCAATCTGTCATCTTTTAGGTCCTCTCAACAATGCTCATCTTGTTACCAGGGCCATCTCTTACCAGTCTCTAGGACCTTTGGTTATGTTCTCTGACCTTCATTGTCAGTGTTTCAGTTAAATTTCCCAACTCCTCAATTTCCCTCTTTTCCTTGTATGTCCATCAATGCTTCAGTTATTTCGACATCTCAAAGTGGTGTCATTCATAGTATGTACATTATGAATGACACATATGTAATGGGTAATATAGTAAATATATACTGCTCTTCCTCTCTGTTCAGTCTCCACAGCCGTTCTTCTTACTTTCACCCAATATACTTCTTCCTTGCCTTCTTGTTTCCTATCTTTCTTACTTCATTTCACTCTTTTCAACCTTGGATCTGGAATTTTCTGTTTACACTTATTTCCTTGCTGATCTTACTCATTCGCAAATGTAACACGTCTAGGGCTAAACTCCTGATCTACCACACACTTGCTCATTTATAGTCTTTATAAAATCAGAAAAATTTAACTCCATTTTTCTCAACCAAAACCTTGGAATAATCCTTGTTTATTCTCTTTCTCTCACACCCCACATCTAAACCTTCAGGAAATCCTATTGTCACTTCTTTCAAAATATCACCAGAATCTGACCTTTTTTTTTCTACCTCCACCTCCATTGGTCCAAGGCACTATCATCTCTACCCTGGAATATTATCAGCTCCTCGATAGTTTCTCCGCTTCTACTCTTGTCTCTTCTTCATTCTTCTCTTAACCTAACAGCCAGACTGATCCAGTCTCCCATGTACTCAATATCCTTCAATAGCTTCTCATCGTGTAAGTGGGAAAGACGAAGTCTGAAAATGGCTTATGAGACCCTCCTTGTCTAGCCCCATTATGTCTCTAACTTCAGCTTCTACTGTCCTTCCTACTTCACTTCTCCCCACTGGCTTCCACCGCCCCTAAGACGTGCCTGCCTTAGGTCTATGAACTTGCTGTCCCCTTTGCCTGGATGCTCCCAGCCAGATACCTACACAGCTGGCTTGTGCACCTTCATCAGGTTTTATTCTAATGTTACTTCCTCACTGAGGACTTCCCTGGCTTCTTCCATGAAATCTTACCTGCCTGCTCTCCACTCCCAGCACTTAGTACTCCCTTTCCTGCTTTATTTTTATTCTTCATACCTTTCAGCATCTAATAATATATATCATTACTCATTTATCTTAACATATTGACTGTACAGGAGTCCACCCTTATCCATGGGGGATACATTCTGAGACCCCCAGTGGATGCCTGAAACTGTGGATAGTACCAAACCCTGTACATACTATGTTTTTCCTATACATACATACCTATAATAAAGTTTAATTTATAAAATAGGCAATTTCATGAATAGAAGATTAGTTCTTACCATAGATCTTTGCAACCTCAGCATAAATTTTTTTTTCTTATTAAGAATGTTTACCTTTACTTTAAAGGAAGCACTGAAGGCTTCTCTTTGGCATATCTGAATTGCCAGCATCACTAATCCAGTATTTTGGGGCCATTGTAAAATAAGGCTACTTGAACACAAGCACTGTGGTACCCTGACAGTGGATCTGATAACTGAGGCAGCTACTAAGTGACCTATGGGCAGGGAGCCTATATGGCCTAGATATGCTTACTTAGGATAATTCATGTCTCAGGTACGACAGAGTGGGATGGTGAGATTTCATCACACTACTCAGATTGGTGAACAATTTAAAACTTATGAATTGCTATTTCTGGAAGTTTCCATTTAACATTTTCAGATTGCAGGTAACTGAAACTGTGGAAAATGAAACTGCATAAGGGAGACTACTGTAATCCTCTTTAGAAGGCAAACCCATCAGGGTAAAGGCTTTGTTTGGTTCATTGCCAAGTGCTCAGGATCAAGAAGAGTACCGGTCCACAGGGAGTTAAGTATTTAAGAAATGAACCCACTATCTTGTACTTTATGTCTTCTTCCTACTTCTTGTACCTCATGCTATCTTCCACGTGGCTTTAATTCCATTTTTGAACATATTTGTTCCCTATGATTTCCTATTTCCAATTCCTGCATCATTTACATCCACTTCCCTCCCTCATTGATTTGGTTTTGTTCCTCTTTGTGGTAAGACATGCTCTAGCTCAGTGAAGTTCAATTCTTATATTTTCTCTAATAATTTTTAAACCTCTATTATTCCCAAAGCAACATAAGATGCTATTTGCTATAGGTAAGAAAATAGCTGTGGATGTTGGCCATATATTGCATAACCTGATGGGGAACAGTAAAAATGAAGTGTGTCCTGAGGACAAGGGAGAGAGGAGAGGACAGCAGACCCTGTGTTGGGCTCCTGAATCGTACCAATGACTAAAATAAAAACTCAGCCTTTAGTGAAATTAGACCACCATTTATGAAATATGAGTGATTGTTCCATGAAAGGCTATGGTTTAGCAGTCCGTAGGAACATCTTTCTTCAACTTATTTAATGTCTCAACTGGCGATTCACATTATTGATCTTGTGAATGATATATCATGCTTAGAATGACATAGTGCCGGGATATAATCTACAAATGACTGGCAACTAGAATAACATATAAGACAGATATACAGTTACCCAGTAAGGAATGTCCTCTCATTGACGAAGATCCAAGAAGAGTACTGGTCGGGCATCAGAGTCATCTTTCCTCCCTTTTTGAGGTCATCTATGGATACCCTAAAACATTAGAATAATATTAATGGCATGCACCTGTGATGCGTTCATAAATCAGTTTCTGACTTAAATTGAATTTTCTTGTTGTGTCCCTAGTGTGTAGAAGTATTTGGGGAGAGGGGGTATTTAAGTAGCGTTTCATGTATGGGCATGAGGGTTGGGTTGGGGAGAAAAGGAAAGAGAAGATATTTTTTTACCATGTGTCTTACACTCTGTAGGTGAGCCAGTTTATAGACTTTCTCTCAAAATCCTGCGACCATCTATCCCAGCAAGGTATGCAGGCCATTACCTCCACTCCAAACCCTCAGTAAGTCATGGAGCAGATCATTTGAAGCACAGCCTGCATATCTTCAAGGCCTCTACTTTGTTTCCTTTTCACCAACATTTTTGCAGTTTGGAAAAGGTTATATAGATTAATTTTTTTCTATAAATCAGTCCATGCTAAGATTCTTTGCAAGGATTTTTTTCTATGTCGAAGGGAATTAATATTGAGGATAAATGAGATGTTCTGCAAAGCCTTCAATTGTAAGAAAATAAGCTTAGAGTTCAGAGTTTAACTACAACTCACGTTGAGTGAGTTTCTAAATGGCCTCCTCTAAAGCTCTTTTTCATGATTGCTCGTAATTTGTTTTGGGAACAAGTAATAATATGTTGTCTTTTCTGCCCACTCCCACAGGCCCCAACCCTCTTAAGTTTTAAGATGCTTGGGTGTTTTTCTCTGTTCTAATTACTCAATCTGTGCTTTTGAGAAAAACCTATTTTGTCTCTTTTGATATGATCTTTCATTTTATACTGAAAATTGTTTCCTTCATATAATTTAGGGAACATAGTAGTAAAGGAAGAAGAACAAACAATTTAATTTTACAATCTCTAATGAAAGATGATAAAGAGGACATATGAAGAAATATCAGATAAACCACAAACATATTAACTTGACAAATAGGCTTCCCTTTGGTAATCAATTTGAGAAACTGGCAACTGTGGGATAGAGAGACAGAGAGAGGGAAAGACAAACAGGGCAGAGCAATAGTTGTAAGAAAGTTATAATACAAAATTCAATGTTGGCCCATGATAAATGCTAATGATTTGCAAATTTATAAGTGGAATCCTGCATCAAAGTTATGATGATAATATCTTTATGGTTGCTGGCTGTCTTAGCTACACTCTTTGTAAGGAATGTACTCAGTATATCCAAATCTGGCATTACTACTATTATAAAGAATCTTACTTCTGAATTTTTAGTATTTGATTTGGAATACACTCTAAAGATTTTTTTTTCATTTTTCAATTTATCCACAGTTCTAAAACTACCAGATTTTAGTGATTTAAAAGTTATCCTCCTGTTCCATCCCTCTATAAATGCACAGGTGTGCTTGGAGTGTTTGAAGCTGCTTCAGAGCTTACATTTTATTGATAAATATAAAAAGAAAAAATGAGAAGCCATATGAAAAATTCTGCCCAGCTAGAATAATGTTTCTGAAGACTTTCTGGTTATATTTTATAGTAAAATCTCCAGAAATTTATGAAAAAATGTAGAAGAATTGCGGTTATTATATTTTAAAATAAAATTTCCAGAGACTTGTGGGAAAAAATCAGTCAGTTTTAAACTTCTGCTTACTTAGCAGCCCCGTGTTGTTTTCTTTAAGAAGATGTTAAATCCCAAAGGCTTCTTGGGTCTCAAATGAGGCATTTTGCGAAATTTTTGTGGCAACATGGGAACACAAGATAGCTGTAATAGAGAAGAGATCCTGGAGGTGTGAAGAACATAGAAAACTGTACTAGGTAAACTAAAAAACTTCAGAATAAGTGGCCCAACGCAAGGAAGGATGGACCAATTTGGTAAGTTTTTGGAGTATTTCTAGAAAGAATTTTCTCCTGTAAGATTCTGTGCAAGGAAACATGTTCCTCCTATTACAGAAATTAAATCCAAGCTGGCGGAACCCTGCCAATGCCTGCAGACACAATTTTAAGTTTTCAGGCAGCTCAAGTCAAGCTCAGACTCGCAGGGTTGATTGTGTTGTAACATCACTGAAGTCTCCTTCAGGCTCTGGAAACTGTGGTCAGACGTGAATAATATCCTCCTTTAGGTTGTCATATAAGTGGTATTAAGGTATAACCAGAGATTTTAAGTATAATAATTTCTAGTCATTCCATCTTGCAGAAATTGAATATTTAACTACCATTGCTTCAAGCCTACAGAATTACAAGGGATATAGCCGGAATAAAAAGGTAGGCTGGAGGGGAAAGATAAATTTTTTTATTTAAAAAAAAGAGGGAGAGGGATTTCCTTCTTTTTCTTCCGAATCAGATTATTTTGGTTGGGATAGGGTGTGTGGAAGACATTTCATGTTTTTCTTCCTCCAGGAGACTAGCTGTCCAAAACAAAACAACAAAAACAAAACAAAACAACAAAACAGCCATTCTCACAACATTTCTGATGCATATTTTTCCTTATAGCACATTGTTAGTTTGAAATTCTGTCATCTACTTGAATGCTATGAGCACATTTCATCAGGCATATTGTAATAGTCTCTAAGCTGAATAGTTGATGAGTTTCTCATTATGCTTTTACCCTTCTGATCTCACTTCATCTTCTTGTTCACAAATATCCCTGGGATCTCATTCTTAGCAAAACAAATATAGCCCTAGTCCCTTAACCTGACATTCAGGCTTTCTGCAATTCCACTCAAACCTACTTTTCAAACTTAAAATTGAAGCTTTTCTTTAACACCAGGCCTTCAAGTCTAATGAAATCTCAAGCCACAGAGTGTTCTACCCGTTGCTTTGTACAAGAGGGCCCTTGTCACTCCAGATTTCTGCTTCCTTCTAGTCCTTGATCAAGTTTGACCTTATCAAATCTCCCACAGCCTGTTATCTACACTGTTGTGATGCCATTTTCTGCATTCGACTTTGTATTGTTATTATTAATTTATGTCTTGCCTACTCATATCCTCCTGCTCAAAGAATGTGTTCCTCTAGATGGGAATGTCGTCCTCTCTGATAGCACATCATTTAGAAGAACTCTCCATAGCATGGCGAGGACTCAAGCCCCAGGGTCAGAAGCTCAGCAAACTGGGAAAATTAACTCTGTAGGTCAAACACTACATGAGCATTTTAGGCTCCCTTGGGTCAGAGACACAGCACACGCCATGAGCCCAATACTAGTAAATCCCAGTTTCTCATTCATAGAATTTAGCCTGGGTTGTTTGGTTACACAGCCCTTGCTCTTGTTTCTAAAACCCGAGTTTTACCTCTAGATTTGTGATTCTAATCACCAATAAAGAAAAGTTATTGAGGCACCCTCGTAAGATTTCCCCAGTGGTTACCTTGAGGTCCAAACACTACCATTCCCCTCCTGAATCCAGATTCGTTATCATCTATTCCTTTAATTTATCTCTCCTTGCACCTCTCCTCCTACATTCCAATAGTTCATTTTCTCTGCCTCGTAGCAGCATTTGACAAGGTTGATTGTTCTCTTCTTTTGAAACACTTTTATCTTTAAGGTATTTTGAAGTAATCACAACAACCTTGCCTTATTTCCTTGCTGTCTCATTGGCTTCACTATTTTAGCCTCCTCTGCTGACTTCTCTAAGAATCACAAAATGCTGGCTTTTTATGTCCTTGGCCATCCCCTCTATCTACACTTTCTTCCAGATAATTGAATTAATCTCCAGCACAGCCTCTCTGCTGAGCTCAACTATGTACTTATTCTCTCTGGATGTCTAACAGCCATCTCAGTATCAACCTGGCCAAAACAGAACCACTTTCTCCCATGCTTCAGAATTCCCACCTCCACAATTCTTCTCTATCTGCCCAATTAAGCACAAAAACTTAACAGTCAGTCTTATTTTTAATTCTTCCATCATAACCAGCTTCCAATCCAGAAGTAAGTTCTATTGATTGTATCTCCATATGTAACCTGAACTCAAAAGCTCCTATTTCCAAAGCTACCGCCTTGAGCCAAACCACCATCACCTTTCTCCTAGATTATCTCATCAGTCTCCTGACTGGTCTCCCTGCGTCCACATGGTGATCAACATTCCATTCTTCACACAGCATAACGGCAATTTCAAAGATCAAGTCAGATTTTGTCATCCTATGACTAAAACCTTGCAAAGACTTGCAAGAATGAACTAGAATAAACTATAACCTTCCTGTGATTACTCATGAGGTCCTGCCAATCTCTTCAGTATTCACTTCCTTTATTATTTTCCTTATTGAATCTATGTCACTTACATTGGCCTTCTTTCTGGTTTTCAATTACCCCTAAGTTCATTACTGCCTCAGGGACTTATCCTTGCTGCTCCTCCTCATTGGAGCATCCCCCATCATGCAGATCCAGCCCCTGTCTCTTCTCTCAGAGGCTTTCTATCAGCAAGTCTCCATCACTCTTCCATTATTTTCATCTAGTTACATATCAATATCTGAAAGGATCTTATTTATTTACGTCGTCCATCTTCTCTAACTACAACACTAGTTTCTTATAATAGGGGCTTTTGAAAATTTGCCTGTGTACATCCAGCTATTCAAATTTGCATGGAACACGGAAGGTATTCAATTAATACCTGTTGAGTGACTGAATGTAAAGTTGCAGATATGGCCCAAAGGATTAAGAATTATTTATAAACTTTTTCCAGACCTCAGTTAAAATGACATTTTAGCTGAGACTAGAAGTTGGAGATATTTTGAACTGAAGAACCACGATGGAAGCCCCTTAGAGTCACAAAGTGCAAACTGACAGTGATGGGCTGAAGAATCATCACAGCAGCTTCCTATGTGTATTCATCACATAGCTAGGGCATCATTAACGGTGGCAAACAACAGCCTTGTAAACGGGTGATCGATGCTGAACCAAAGCAGAAGATTGCAGATGGGATTAAAGAATTTCAAAAGTTCTGACCTTATTCTCTGACCTTAGGAAGAAAGACAATTGAATGGAATTTAGGGAATAAAATAAAAACAGCATAAGTTTTTGTTCCTAGGTGGTATATGCTAATTAAATAGGAATACTATTGGCCATGTCTGAATCTAAAAATTGACTAAGCAAAATATTCAAACAGTCTAAATACCAGAAAGGTAAAAATGTGACTTGGTAAAAGTCTCTCTTTATTATTCATTGCTGAAGTGATAAATAGATCTGTGAATTCAGATAGTTTTCCCTCTCCATTCCCATTAACCATGATTCATAGCAAATTAAAATCTGGTTGGGCCCTTGTGCATATCTTTTAAATGATGAAGACTTGGTAGATTTTTGAGCTAGTTTCCTCAAAAGGCTTAAGAGGATGATCACAGAGGTTATGATTAGCAGAGATGGAGAGGATTTATGAAAACAGAAAAAAATTATATAGAAGCCTAGAATTCTTACTTTGGACATTCACCATTATTTTGATAAACTATAATTTGAGGAGGAAAGCAATTGTTATAAATCTATGTACTTTACTTGGGGCCAGAGCTTATTCACTTAGATTGTGTATGAAATGAGATTACTCATTTAATAAGTGTGGTTATTTATTTTTTCATTTTGTCCAGACAGAGTGGAGCTCAAAAGATAGCAATTAGCAATTAGATAGGTCAGCAATTAAGTTCTGGAGAAATAAACAGTTCTGAGAGTACTAGGCAGGTCTAAGGTCGCAAAGGCCTAGGGGGCTTCACAGAGAAGGAAGGAGACTAACCAGGTAGAATGGGTCTGAGCAGGCAGAATGGGAGCACTGAGTGTGTGGGCAGCAGAGACCGGAGAACATGAGAGAGCATCAATGGTTTTTCTCCCTCTGCTCTGCATCCTGCCTAGATGTGGGCTTGCCCTCACTGACCAGTTACCAGAAGGAAGCCAGAAAATGGAAGGGGGATCCAAGCTGAAATGAATTCAAATGGATCACTCATTTAAATTACCTTCCTGTGCCCAAGCACGGATTAATTAAATGGTTACTTGTATAGGCAACAAATATTCCACAAGTTCCTTCTTTGGACCCACATCCGTACTAACCACAGGAAGTGTAGCCTATATCTCTATCTGTAGTCCCTTATGCCCGAGGCCAGTGGGTACACAGTGACAAGATGGTCATAATTTTACAATGAACTAGAACAAAAAATACAGGTGCTAACTTCCCTAGGATCCTCAGCCAAAGAAAATTTTTCCTGCCATTTCACAGGAAAATATCTGCAGCTTTCTAATTACCTACTTCTTTCTCTTTCTGAGCAATATATTTTATTTTACTTAATTTGACTATTTGTTCCTTTTGAACAGGATTATTGCTTATTTCAGTTTTGTATTACCCAGAGTGAGTATAATGTATTTACAAGTATATAGATAAAACATATGCAAAATAATTAATGTATTCAATATATGGGAAAGCATATTCAAATAACATTAAAATTGAGAGCTTTGAAGTTGAATGATAGTTATTTTATATTTTATACCCATTTTTAAGATCATATACAAGGAAAATATATAACATACACCATAAAAGTTATAAAAAAAACCTAAAGTAACACATTGAAATAGCAAGTGTATATTTCAATTATTAAATAAGACTATATACATGAAATTCTTTTTTAAATTATTGTTTTGGCTTGAAGAGGCAATAGAAAGTTACAAATCTGTATTCAGTTCCAAAATAAAGCTATAAAGAAAATAAATTTTTCTCTAAGCTCTGACCTGGATTCGTGTCAAGATGGTCATAATTTTACAATGTTGAGAAGAAAAGAACTACATACAATTATCTAAAAAACCCAAAACTACAATTCTATCCATTATCCAAAAGAGTCAAGAAAAGTATGGATTCTGAGAAACATTTGTCTCCATAGTTTTTCTAATTTGCAGAGATGATAAAAAGTTCAGAGTTGGGTTACTTAAACTATCATTTCATTAAGTGATATTGATTGCAGCTAGAAAAATGTTTGTTTTGAGATAAAAATAAACAAAAAAGTACTTGGATTTAAGACAGCACTAAACAGGATATGGATCAAACAACCAGACGTCTATGTGACCATGTCATTGCTCTCAGTTCCAGTAGAATCCAATTTGAAATGCCAAGCCTTTAAGAGTCTATTTCATATTTACACAGTGCTAAGACCATGTGCTTTGTTCTCCCCAGAGTGTGGGAAGCAAGAGCAGTAGAAGAAGCAGGCTAGCTGTAAGCCATGTCAGGACTCAAAGAATCTCACCAGCGCACAGTCTAGAAGGGAGCTGCTCAGTCTGCCAACACATCTGGAATTGCTGCCGTGGCCCAGCTCAAGGATTTCCTACTTCATCTAAGTTTCCAAAAGGATATTCTAAGGTGGCTTCACAGGCATCAGGACTCATCTTTTCTGTTCATATGTTGGCTACAAAAGAATTGGGAGACTCTCTTCTCTTGAGCTCCATTTACTAGGCCTGGGATGATGATGATGAAAAGTTGTCTTTAATCATTTCAGCTACTAAAATAGTACCCTCATCACTTAAAAGGAAGACACCTGAAATATTGGTTTTGTACTTGAGATGCTGTTATGAAGGGATGAAATCACTATACAGTATTTGACAGCTCTGACAGATATAAGTTTAATTTTGTAACAGGGCCTAATCCTCTCTAACCCTGGACTTGGCTGCAAAGAGAATATTCAGAAGATGTTCTTTCTCAGAGGCTGTTTTTTCAATTGACCCATACTTGAATATGTTTTAAAAATCTAAACTTTTCTATGAAGCCCATGTATTTCTTTTTCTTTTTTTTCCTCCATGTATATATAACAACCCTAAAATCCCAACCTGCTTGTAAGCTTGTAACGTAAGTTGACTGTTAGCATTAGATTTCTATTTCAAATGAAAGTGTACTATGCTTCTTATTTTACAGAGTTAAAACAAATATAAGATGTAAATCTTTGAATTACATGTTAAAAAGACATATTACATACATGTTATACTATTTTGAATATATTTGAAAATTTAATTTTTTCTTAATTACTGTTGGTTGTCTCTCTCTCCCCATCCCGAAAACATTTAATAGTCTATCTTAAAATGTTATATGCATTAGAAGTAGTAGAAAAACACATGTATACTAAAACAGACTTTAACAAGGAAGATTTACCTACAATTATGTGGTTAAATAAGTTAATTTCAAGTAAGTTAATCTCCAATATAGTTAAGTAGATTAATTTCAATTGATGGTACTGTACATTGTTGAGACATATGACTATTAAGAAATAAAATCAAATAACTTGGTTTAAGAAGTTCTAACCGTTAGGTTTGATCAAATAATTGAATCGATACCCCACCCCTGGGAACTGACCTTCAGGCCACTTCACAAGGGACATTCCCTTTCGCTTAGACCACATTCCATTTGCTAAGACCACATTCCACTTGCAAAGACCATTATCTCTCCCCTCTGGACCTTTCCAGGATTCGGACCGGAACAGGGAATTCTCCACCCAGAAAAAGCCCACCTAGAGTCCCTTAAAAACTTCTGACTCCCAATTTTGGGTGCTGGCACCATTTTGGGGGCTCAGCCCACCTGGTATCCAGATGACCTAATAAATTTATAAGCCCTTACCACTTTGGCCTTATGTGTTCCTCCTTCGGCGACTCCAGCACTAACAATATCTATTCAGCGTAAAAGCATATTCTTGCTTTGAAAAATGTTTAGTAAATACCAGTACTGAAATTTATTCTAAATGGACTTAGTACTCTTATAAGTTTTTAACTAAACCACACTAAGTTCAACCAGACTCTAGAGGACAATAATGTAGTCAAGTTCAGTTTGGTTGGTTTTATAATTCTATTCACAATTCTCCAGTCCATATTCAATTGTAATTACACTGGAGAATTTTAACTCTACAATTTGAAAAAAGAATCATGTCCATTGATAGATGAATGGATAAAAAGTAGATTTGCAGTGGTGAGTACAGGAAACAGAGTTTATTCACTATGTAATAATCATAACAGTAAACCTACTTTTGCCCACTCCTGTATATACAATGGAATATTAAGCAGCAATAAACAAGAATGGAATGGCCTGGCTGGTGTGGCTCAGTGGTTGAGTATCAACATATACACCAGGAGGTCACAATTCGATTCCTGGTCAGGGCATATGCCTGGGTTGTCAGGGCATATGCCTGGGTTGTGGGCTCAATCCCCAGTAAGGGGCGTGCAGGAGGCAGCCAATCAATGATTCTCTCTCATCATTGATGTTTCTATCTCTTTTGCTCCCTTCCTCTCTGAAATCAATAAAAAATTTTTTAAACAAAAGAATGGAATCTTACCATTTATGACACATTAATGGATTTAGAGGGTATTATGCCATGTGAACTGTGAGGCAGAGGAAGATAAATACTATATAGTTTCACACATATGTGGAATGTAAAGCAAAACAAAACAAAATCAGACTCATAAAAACAGAGACCAAAGTGATAGTTACCAGAGGAAGTGGTTGGGGGAATGGGTGAAAAAAGTGAAGGGGAATGTAGTTAATATTATTGCATAAATTTACATAGTGACAGATGATTACTAGGATAGTAGGGTGGTCACATTGTAAGGTCTAAAAATGTCAAATCACTATTGTATACCTGAAACTAATAAGACTAATATAAGATTGCATAACAACTATTCTTTTAAAAAATAAATTTACAAAGTCAGGTAATATTAGCATTCACCAAAAAAAATGATGAATAGGATTGACTACAAATCACTTAAATGTTTTATATTAGTAAAATAAAAAGATAACATTTCATCAATGGAGATACTTTGCTAGTCAGAGCTACTAAGTCTGTCTTCCTCAAAGTTATCAACATTAATAAAACTCACAGTAATGTTGCCCTGGCTGGTGCAGCTCAGTTGGTTGGAGCATATTGTCCCTTACACTGAAAGGTGGCTGGTTCGGGTTCGATCCCCAGTCAGAGGACATACAGAGGCAACCAATCAATGTCTGCCCCTCTCCCTCTCAAAAATTTAAAATTTTTTTAAAAACCTCTATAAAAAAACACACTAACAGCAATATTAACAAAAGTTCCCTTTAAATAAAATTTCATGAAATAAGGTGCCTTGCCTATAATTTAAGTTTAAGAGGCAACGACCAACAAAAAACAGGCATCATTCTTTTATATATATATTGGCCATCAACACAAATGAAAGTCTACATCACTTCAATACAAACAATACAATATGTACTACAAGGTAAGGTCGTGAAATCTTATGGTCTAATTTTCTCCAAGTAATTCAAGGGGCAATCTCTTTTACTAAACTCAGACAACATCATGGGTTCCACAAGATGGGACTGTGTAAAATTCTCCTATTAAAATTACACTTCAGTTTTAGAAATAACATATGAATATACATGTGACTTTTCCAAAGTAAAATTGACTGAGTAGCAAATAAGTTTGAATTTGCCACCATCTACTCTATTTGAAAAATGGCAGGAAGCCAGACAATGCCCTTGCTACTAAGAAAGGCAATGCTTTTTCCCCCCTGCCATCTGCTCACAGGTCCTGGATCCACAATTTCTGGTCTCCCCTGCTCAGCTCCTGCTTCCTGATCTGGCCCTTTTGGCTAACAGGAGGCCGCATTTATGGAATACTTGCTCAGTGTTTAGTGCTCATCGAAGCCCTATTGGCAGCTCCTGTTAGGATGCTCACTTCTAGATATGACAAACTGAGGCTTAGATAAGTTAACTTGCTATGGAACAAAACACTAAGTGGCAAAGCCAAGACTTGAACCTATGGCTCTCCTGTCTCAGAATGTTATCCTTAACTCATGGACTCCCATGTAATTAATTACGATTATTCTTTCATTGTTTGGTACAGTCTTAAATTATATCAGAAATCCTTTGTAATTTTTTTTGGGGGGTTACATTTTTGTAGCTTTGTGGAAACAAATAAAAGCTTAGCCAACTGAACCCTTTCTTCCTTCCTTCCTTCCTTCCTTCCTTCCTTCCTTCCTTCCTTCCTTCCTTCCTTCCCTCCTTTCTTCCTTCCTTTCTTTCTTTCTTTCTTTCATTTCATTTTTGTTACTCTTCACCTGAGGGTATTTTTCCATTGATTTTTAGAGGGAATGGAAGAGGGGGAGACAGAGAAAAAAACATCCATGTGAGAGACACATCAATTGGTTGCCTCCTCCACACATCCTGACCAGATCTCACCTATGTGCCTTAGACAGGAATTGACCCTGGACCTTTCAGTCTGTAAGTTGACCACTTCTATCCACTGACACAAACAGGCTAGGTCTGAACCCTCTATTTAAGATACCTTCCATGCTAGCTGATTCAATACAACACTGTAACCACAAGAACACTCAGGGACAGGAGGATGTCATGCCGGGAGTCCAGTATCTCTGGAGAGTAAGCACAATTCCAGGTCCAGTGCTCACTGAGCTTTTTCCCTGAAGCTAAGGGAGGAGGGGCTCAGTGGCCACACTAACCTCCATACCTCCCCCTCTCCTTCCCTCCTTTTCCCTCTCTTCACAGTGGCCGCACTAACCTCCATTCCTCCCCCCTCTCCTTCCTTCCTTTTCCCTCTCTTCACAGGCATAACTTGGTCAGGAAAGACCATTCTGAAAAAAAATCAAGAGGAAAAGTAATGTCCGTTTTCACCTGTTATTCACACTGAGAGCAGAAGGAACCTTTTTACCTTAATTGTTGGGCTGAACTTGCTTCCGACAGTTTGTTCCCCTGCTGGGTCACAAACTCTGATTGCCGGAAAGTCAGCGCTCACTCACCTGTCCTGGAGGTCCAGGTCCGTGCCAAGTGTGGGAGGAGGGGTGCACAAGGCTCACCTGCACACCGCTGGGCTCTGCTCCCGGGAGTCACACACACACACACACACACACACACACACACACACACACACTCACTCACACAAGGTCATCAAGCCCAAGAATCTGTTAGTTAATTATTACTTCCTTTCACCACCGCAGGGAAATGTTAGAAACCTGAGCCACTCCCTGTGCCTCAGTGCATGTTGGGAGTGTTTACTTTCTTTCTTAGGATCAGCTGATAGACACACACACTCCTTTGCTCCTTGTCACACATTTTGAGGAGAAGTGAACTGACACCCTGATTAACACTTTAACCACTGAGTTGGACTGATTCTACTCTCTATTTTCTAGTCTATCCAGATTATAGAGAAATAGTCCATGTAAGAAATGACACCAACTAAGACTTAATGTCAGTATTTCTTTTCTTTTTAGAGAGAAGAAAAAGGAAGGTGAGAGAGAGAGAGAGAGAGAGAGAGAGAGAGAGAGAGAGAGACTTCCCTACATGCTCTCACCGGAAATCAAACCCACAACCTTGGTATGTGCCCTGACTGGGAATCAAACCCTCAAACCTTTTGGTGTACTGGACATGAGCCACCCAGCCAGGGCCATCTGTGTCTTTGTTTTTAATGTTCTCTTTCAATTAGAAATTTCAATATTTCTCTCTCTCTATCTCTCTCTTTCTTTCTTCTTTTTTTCCACCTCCTTTACCCACCAGCACCTTTTCAACCAAAGCAGTGCTTCCCACACCCAAGGGTGCACCAATATAACTTGCTAAACTCCAATAGGACGACAGCACCTGTAAGACTGATCTAGTAGGTCTGGGGTGGGCTGTAGGCACCTGTATGTCTTTTTAAGTGCCTCAGAAGAATCAGGTAGTCATCAAAGTTTGAAAACTACTGTAAGAAAGTATAAAAGAGGAAATTAATAATAACTTAATCCCTACCTACTGAATTGGATTTGGGGATTTTGCTTTTCCTCAGTACCTCCAATTTCAAGAAGGCCACCAAAGTCTAGTTAACTAGACTGATTGTGGTGATCATTTCAAAACATATACAAATATTAAATCATTATGTTGTACACCTGAAGTTAATATAATGTTATATGTCAACTATACCTCAATTTTAAAAAGAAGCTACCTCTTTGAAAACTACCAAAATGCCAAAGCTTTAAAAAAATTAAATAAGATCAGTCCAAAGAAAGGGGTGAGCACCAAAACTTAGAGACCCTTAGATGGCAGATGCTGTGGGAATACAAAGTGCTTTTCCCACACAAGTATTTTTTGGTATCATCGATGCTTTACCTGTTTCCTATGTAAAGCAACTTTAATATTTTAAAAAGTTGTTTTTCAAGTATAAGCCTTAGAGCTTTCCAAAGGAATTAAATATTATTCCGGCAATGAGTTTAGTAAGCAGAGTTGATATCTCATGTCCTGAATGTTCAAGTGTTGAATTCACAGATTGATCATCACTCAAGATTTTCAGGTCACGTGTTTGATTGATCACAGTATTTCAAAAAATTAGCCAGTTTAGCCAGTGAACTTATGGTACACAGAGGTCAGAAGCAACCAGATTTATCATTCTTTAGACGATTTTATTAGAATGAGGCAAATGGATTTTTTGGGCCACAATCAAAACTTGTACCACCTCATTTATGAGGACAGTGTGACTTGGTATTACTTGTGGGTATTAGTATGTTGCCATGTTGGCACCACAAACGCTGCTGTTATGGGCTGACCTTTTAATGATGACTAACAGGACCTGCAGTGTCAATAGCTCCCAGGTCCAGGACGTCTTTGTTTAATCCATGCTCCACTCCCAAAGTCCCCACTCTGTGGGCATCATTCCTTTAGTATCAGTATCAAGGCAAATGTTTTTACATTTTTTATGTGCAAGCATCCTGGAAACCTTTATTCTGATTACTAATTTGCAACTGGTTTCCTTCCGTTAAAGGCTCAGTGACTCCTTTTGTTTTTGAGTACTTACCCTTTTGTATATGTAATGTTTGTTTTGTAATATAAAAATACATAATCACACAAATGTGATGTGAAAACTTTGGAAAACACAGAAATGTAGAAAAAGATCACTTAAAATTCCATCTCTTAAATGTAGTTACTATAAATAATTTGGTGAATGTCTTTATTGACATAGTTCCTCTACGGGTATTTACCAAAATGCTACTACATTTGGCTTATTGTTTTATAACCTGTTTTTTATCACATAAAACATCTTATGAACAATTTGCCATATGTCAGCCAGTGTTTTTTTTTCCCCTCTGCAATGTGATTTTAGCTAGTTACACTATATTATACCATATGGATATACATTATTTAATCAGTTCCCAATTGTGGAAATTTATGTTACTATAAACAACACTGTAGTAAATGTTTATATACAACTTCACACAACCGTGATAATGTCCGTTAGCTACATTTCAAAAAATAAAGTTGCCGGGTAAAAGGGAATGACCTTTTAAAAGGATTTCTCTTTTAAAAAAAAGTGTCAATTTTATAGTCTTAAGGTGACTCCTGAATTATTATTATTTGTTTAAATGTTTATCAATTTGAAAGCTTAAAAAAATCGTATTCTGTTTTAAATATGTATGTTATTGAATACCTATAAGATTGAACTCTTTCTTTAGACTTATCCTGTATTTTTGGTTTCTTGTTTATTGTATTCTTTGTCCATCTTTTCTTACTAATTTATAAGATCTCTTTATATATTAAACACATCAACTCTTCATCATATATGCTGTGATTATATTTTTCAGTATTGCCTGTTAGTTTTGTTGGTATATCTTTTGACATACAAATTTTTAAAATTTAAATAATTAATCCATTACTATTTTTATTTATTGCTTACATCTTAGTGTTCAAAAAGCTTTCCCATTCTTAATGTATA